CCACCTCTTGCTTGGAAGTAGTTTTCTCCTTGATCTCATCAACATATCTTGCTTCTCTTCGAGATCCCTCTCCACCATCCCCCTGATGGTTCAAACTACCAGGGTTGAATCTAGTCCCAAATCCTTCCCCACTTCTAATGTGTTGCTGATAGTTTTCTTTGGAGCTGTCCACCTCTTCTTCCTTTTTCCTATACTAGAAATTGTCCCTCCCCCCTCTGTCGAACCCCCCCCCCCCCCGATTTCCTCCAAAACCTTTGTTCATTATCTCCCCCTCACTGGTATCTTCTAGTTCTGGTGGCGGCGGGGTGGGGGGGAACCCTAGTTCCACAAAGGGATCGCTCTCTCCTTCCAACAGAAGGAGGGGCTCATCATTTATATGGGTAAAGGTCTTTGAAAGCGTATTCTTCAAAGCCGTATCTTCTTTTTTCCTTTTTTGCCCCTCTCTAGCTTTTCCATTGCCTATTTCCCCTCGATTAAGGTTATCAGCATCTCTACCTCCTAGCCTTTGCTAATTTCCATCTCTTCAATATAAACTGACTCATTAGACCAGAAATCTGGAATTTGGGCAAACTGTTTTCTACTCATTTTTTCAATAATCTCTCTCCCAAATGAGATTTGGGTTTGAGCAATTTTGTTACCACTACCTCCATTGAGGACAGAATTAGAGCGTGGTCTAATATCAACAATTTTTTATCACTAGAAGCAATATGCCTGTGTTTTTTATTTTTATTTGACTCGACTTTCCAAAATCATCAGAATCAATGAGGTATTTGGCCGAATGGATGTTCATACCTTGCAAGTCACGCAAGGGCCCAACCTCCTCGTCGGAATCCTCTCTGGCCAGCAACCAGAAGCAGCTGCCAGCCGGAGAGATCCCTACGCCTCCTGCACGGAGGACGCCAGGCAGGCCAGACGGATAGAGCGTTGCGGGAATCTGGGAGAGCATCTGGGCAGGTCTGTCACCATGCGCTTCTTCTTCTTCAACTTGTTCACCTGCACCCTTCCTGTCCGAGCCTCTGCCGCTGCCTCTCCTTCGTCCGCAAATTCCGAGCTGATCCCCATCGGGCGAGTCACTGCGCCGAGCGCAGGGGTGGCAAGCGCCATCACCGCCCCCGCCACCATCTTCTCTAGTTCCGCAAGGGCGACGCACCTGGATCGGAACTCTCGCCACTTCCACGCCTGCTTGGGGTCGTCGGAGCTCACTTCCTCCATCACCCATAGCATCATCCGCAGCGGTCCCACTGCCCCGCCGTGTGGAGATAGGCAGGTGTCTTCTTCCTCTGTCAGAATGCAAAATCCTTGCGCCGCCGCTGCCTTCAGATCCCCTCTCTCCGGGAACCACGAGAGTACCTCTCTCATCTTCTCCATCTTCCCCTAGTCTCCCTCTACGATCACCACCATCTCCTCCTCGAGCAATTTCTTCCAGAACGCCATCGAACCCCAGAGCGGTGTGAGCGAGTGTGGGAATGGGAGGGCATTTTTGCTTCTCTGCGCCCGTGGTAATGGAGGATAAGGTTTCCCCCTCACCTATCGCATTTATGTCCCTGCCGCCATGGCAGTCAGTCTTCTCCACTTCCTCGACCCCCGCGCCGCCTCTCTCGCTGCATTGTTTCCTGCCCACGAGCGCCACATGGCTGGGAAATGAGGTCTGCATACCTTCCTCGATTTCCTCCCTCGGACGCACTTCCTTCGCATCGACGCATCCGCCCCGGTCGTTGAGGAGTAGTAGTCGACGGGCACGGCCACGCCGAACTACAGTCCCTTGCCGGAAAACTAGCAGGGCCGGCGCATGGAGACTGGAGACCAGATGCGCCGCCCATCTCTGATCGCCCGGAGAGGTCGCCATCTTTCCTATATCATATTTTCTCTAGCAACGTGACATAGAACCTGACAGTTCTATCTTGCACTTTGTCTAGCTTGGATAGACAACGACTTACCATGTTGCATCACGACCAGCTCTTCGAATTCTTGCATCTTACAGAATTCATTCAAGCATGATAACTCACTCGCGATGCATAACGGGAAGAATTTGGGTCTTGGCGTTTGCCTCGCCAACTCGATGGCTTCAATACAATCAGTCTCTAGCTCCATTTGTGGCTCAACATATCTCTACCACGTATCACCTTTTATTTCAAACTAGTTGAACGCCCGTGCGTTGCTACGGGACTTAAAAAATGTATACAATGGTCATTGTTCTAATCCAGAAGTGCATGTCAAACATGACGGATATTCATCTATATAACGCCAACTACCAATTCTTTCTCGCACTGCTTTCTCTATCATGTCTTTTTTGTAACGTGACATAGTAGGAGAGACCCCTAATGTATATTCTACAAATTAGAAGTGTGTCATTAACTTCGTGTGTCCAATCTTTCACTACCTTCCTTGCTCCCAGATAAAGAGGGTTTCTCTCAGTCGCTCCTCCTCTTCAAATCCTTCGAATTCATCCATTTTTGCTCTCAATCGTCATCAATTCAAATATTGGTCATTTTGCCCTAACTATCGGTTGGCCACTTCTTCAAATCATTAGAAGATCTATGAAATGGTGCATATGTATCGAGAGAATAATAGTAACCAATCTAACCTGGAACATGTATTGAACTAATATTCTCTCCTCTAAGAAATGGTGGCTAGGGTTTCTGCCTCCCATCGGCGGCGCCACTAATCTGCCACGTCTCTTGTGGCCTTAGGGTCATGGGTCTGCTGTGGATCTCAGCCCTTGCTGCTGAGAGGGCTCCGTTTTCAGGTGCTTCTTCAAGTTTTGTTAGAGTTTGTGCCAGCGGCGGCTTTTGAAGATGAAATAAGGTAATCCCCACCTAGTCCTAGTACCGGTGGTGCGTCTAGCATCATAGGAGGGTGTGTGGAGGTGTGTCTGCGGCGGATATGGCAGGATTTAGTCGGTGGTTTTCTTTGGTGGATCCACTCAGATCTGGTCTTTGTTCTTCTGTGTTCATGTGTAGAAGATACCACGGTTTTGACATACTACAATATTTTGAAGTATTGAGAATACTTTGAGCTGTTTGGCTAGTGCAGTATATACCAACGTATGTAATAGCTAACTAGCCGTTTTCTCCTTAGCTTACCCAGCCATTGCAGACCCAACGCCCATGCAAAAAGGCCACCCACATGCACAAAATCCACTGCCAAACTATCAAGGACCACCCCCAAAGCTCGGCCTACAGCTTACGAAAGGTGAGAAACACCGTGCATTGCGGTGGTCACCAATTCCTTCCTCTCAGTTACGGCGAGGTGACTCGACCTGCTGCCGGCCGACCGGCATCGTAGCAGTCGCACAAAGAGAAGTAGAAGCGGCGGTGATTGCAATCTTCATCAGACGGCAGGAGTTTTCTTCCTCTGCAAGCAAGGTCTGCTAGCTTCATGCCACGGGCCTCCTTGAGAAAAGAAGGGAACAGATGATAGCCGAGTGTACTATTTTTTTTCAATGTCGTCTCTTTGTTGTCCACGGCAACCGAGGTAGATGATTTTCAGCGATTAGAGAGCGGCGGCAGCTTGGAGTGAAGGAGGAGTCGAGGACGAAGCAATAGGCTCGTTTTCTTCGCCTGCTCTGTTTAAAAAAAAGAGGTCCGGGGTTTTTTTTATTTGACACAGAAAATATTGCGTTTTGAGAAATACAGTAGTATAAGTACCACCTTTTTTTAGGCCAAACAGCTCAAAGTAATTAAAACATAGTATTTAGAAAAACTATAGTATTCTAAAAAATACTTAGAAAATGCAAAGCTATCAAATGGGGCCCCTAATCTAGCTCCCAAAACAATCTAAACAAGGGTGAAAGCATACGCTAAAACTTCAGCATCTCCGCCAACCATCCGCAACCAAATCACCCGCATGGCCATGGCTGCACACCGGCACCTGAGGCGCATGCTCCGCCCACGAACATCGCGTCTCCCACCGCCAAGGCCGCCGCCCTACATCCAGACACCCGCAAGACCAGCCAAAGTCACCGGCTTTGGCCCAAAGGACGCACCCGACCGCCAAACCGCAGCATACATCCCGCCTCGAACAATGTCGGAGCTACATCAGACCGCACCCGGCCGGGGAAAGGGGATGAGGGGGAGCGGACGCATCCAGGACCGGTACACCCCCGTGCCGGTGATGGGTGGCCCGAACTCTCGTTGGCGCCTCCCATCCCTCCAGCCTACCTCCCCACCGGACACCCCCTATGTCGCCCCACCTCGGCAGCCGGCGCAGCTCCACGCAAGGCCACCAACACACACCTGCCCGCCGGCAAGGAAAACCCCAAGGTCCGCTGCCGACCACCAAGAAAGCTCACCGGGGAGCCCATCCGCGTTGCCCACCGCCGCCCAACCACCGGAGCACCTGGAGCCAGCGAGCCCGCCCACCGACCTGCCGTTGTTGCGACGCTGCAGCCCCTGCCGCCCTCGGCCCGCGTCGCCTGGCCCTAGATCCAGCCGTGCCCGCCAGGCCATAGATCTGGCTGCACCGTCGCTAATCTCAGAGAGCCGAGAACGCACTATCACCTGGCCGCCCGCCGCAGGGGAGCAGAGGCACCGGAGTACTCCGCCTCTGCCCGCTGCACCGCCGTGACGCCCGACACAGCTCCATGCTCCGACCCGAGGCGCCGGCCCGTGCCAGCACCACCTGAATAGGAGGACGACGAGGCCCTGCCGCCGCCGGCGACGGCTGGGCTTTGCCCAGCCGCGCCCACGGGCGGCGGCGAGGGAGGAGGAGGGGAGAGGGGGCGGAGACCGGCGGGATTTAGGGTTGCCCCCCGGTCGCCTCGCGGGAGCGACGCGGGGGGAGGAATGTTCGCTTCCTCCAAATTCAGCATCTACACTGATCAAAATGGCCTCTTGAGCCCCTTGAAGTCCACCGTCTCGATGCACTCTACGCTGCCCCTGAAACCATTGAGCAGGTTGAGCAGCTCGATGCCTAAGCCCACCTGGAGCCGCTAAGGCGCCCACACGCAGCACCTCGTCGCAGCACACGCCAGCGTCGGTGTCCACGGCATGGCAGAGGCGTCAGAGTGCGGAGACGGCGAACTCCGTGGCCATGTTGGACACGTGGAACATCTTCTTGACCAGAACCAGCACGACCAGCACGTGCGCATGCGCGGACTCGAGGCCGATGTCGGTACATAGGACGCCGTCGAGCACGGCCAGTGCCTCCCCGCTCGTCCCCTTGTCGGCGTCCATGAGGTGCTCCACAACGATGAGCACTTCCCCTAGCTCGGCGAAGCGGGCGGCCATGCGATCGCTGCCGAAGATGAGGTAGTAGGCCATGACGAGCGCAACCTTGGTGGTCTGCGGGGACACAGGGTTCCTGGTAAGGCCAACGAGCGCACTGCATACGCCGGGCGTCCTGGAGATGATGCCGACGGTGTGCCGATCGGCGGACGAGGCGAGCTCGAGGAGGACGATGGCGGCGCTGGCCTGCATGGCGAGGTCTCCGTGGGAGAGCAGCGAGACGAGGGTGTTGAGAGACTCCAGCGAGGCAATGTAGCATCGGGCCACGTCGTCGAGCGGGAAGAACATGGTAAGGGCCGTCAAGATCTTCCCCAGTGCGCCCAATACTGTGGCGTTGGTGCCCTCCACGGGCTTACCAGCGAAGCTCTGGAAAGCCAAGGCGAGCTGGCGGGCAGCACAGGCAGCCACGAGGCGCCGGCGGTTGCGGTCGCTCTCCTTCCTGATGGCCTGGCCATGGTGGCTACCTGCCCGCAGGCGGCCGCATTCCCGCGCCTGGAGGCGAGCACCTCGGTCGGCGGTGGCGGCCTCGGTGACGGGCACCCGCTCGGCTTGGTTGGCAATGCACCAGGGTCCTGGATCATGCAGCGTGTGGCGTTGTTGGGGACGAGGTCGGTGAGCCGCACGGGGCCGCCGGTGATGGTGCACGTGCCACGCCCCTGTACCAGTCCTTCATCAGCTCGAGCGAGATCGGGCACCGGAAGTGCGCCGGCACCACCAGCACCTAATCGTTCCTGGTGTTCGCCACCTGCAGTCGTCGTTAGCCATGCGTGGCACACGACAGCGGATTGGGAGCTCTGGGTAGGAGCGGTGATGCGTAGGTTCATGGGCGGAGCGGCCGTGACTTTTCAGTTTTCACGCGATAGACGGGAGATGAGGGGTGCGACGTGCGTTAGTGGGCAGTAGTTTTACTCGATTGTATACGATGGATTATTCCTATTGCGAAGTAGCGATCGCACCGACTGGTTTGTTTAGAATGATTCTCCTTTTCGTGAAGAAGTAGCGATCGTGTGAGGCGGGGGTGGTCGAACCATCACGACGACGACTGCAGATTCCCTTTAATAGTAGAGAAGATTATAAGACATTTTGGATATTTAATGCAGACTAAAATAAGTGAATAAAATCAAAATCCCACGGTTTTAGAATACAAACCATGTGATAGCATATTTGAATTTCGTAATTGGATCATGAAAAGTTAACGGCTCATATTGATTCAGGATCGTCTTAGAAAACCATTAAAATAAAGGGTCCGGATAACTGCCGCACGTCCGGTGTGTGGGGGGGGGGGGTTGTGCCGCACGCATCGTGCGGCATGGACAGCAACCAGTCTGCACGACCATGTTCGCGCGCACAACGGCACGGCCCGCATGTCCGGTGTGTGGCAACCTCGCCCGGACGTGCGGGCCAGAGGACCCAGCAGCCCGCACGATCCAGCCGCCCCGGCCTCTTCTCCCACCTCCCGAATCCCGACTGCCGCCCATATTCTCCCACCTCCCGATCCCCTACCTCCATCGCCGGCCTTCTCTGGTTGCCATGGCAACCAGATCAGATCCGTAGGGCATTCCCACCTGAAACCACACCCCCACCCTCCCCCCACCCCTCCCCCACCCTCAATCCAACAACGCCCTCCAAAGAAGACCATCTAAAATACAGGTAATCTCCCGATCTAACTACTGCTTCTCATCCTTCTACATGGCGCAAAGTACAAAATTACCGACGAGGTTGGCAACTAGATCCATACTACGTGGGTTGTGTGTCTTCGCAGTTGCCAAGCAGAGTACACTAGATCTTCCATGTACTGTGTTAGAGATAACCGTAAGTTCTCTGTAGATTGATGCACGTAGTTGGTAAATGGATGGATGTGTGGGAATCCATAAAAAGATGGAGAAAAATTGAGAAATTTGGAATAATGTAGGGTGTCAAAAATAATTGCCACTGGTGTTTAACATCAGTTGCCACCTATCATTGTCGTCAACTGCCACCATGTCAACTTATAGCTTGCCATCCTATTGTAGTGGCTGATGCCATCGAATAGAACGGTTAGCTAGCACTCATATTTTAGAAAACAATAGTGGATGTACATGTCCTACTAGCCATGATATGCTGGTTACCTACGCATGGAAATGTGATAACACTGACGTGTTTACTTCTACATGCAAGCATCACAAGGATACATTTTTTGTGGATTGTTGATGCATTCTTGTTCATGCAGTGATTGATAGCACGGTGGCAGAAAACGAGACGCAGGAAAGAATGAGTCACGGAGATGGCACTAATCTTTTCGGTTCTCAAAGGCCAGAAACGCCCCCTTGGGATGCATCAGAGTACAACCAACTCATTTCTGCAGGGCCGTTGCTGCCACTACTAGAACAGTACGCAGGCATTGGTATGATGCATGAAAAACAAAAGAAAAAGAACATTTGCCATGTTCGCGACAATGAAGATGACAGTCTACTTATGTCCTACGCTGTCATTTTTTTGTAGGTTCTTATGCCCAAAACACGCTCAGGGGGGCACCATGGCAAGTTCAGTCACAAGGCGCTAACACTGACAAATGTGTGGGCATCCAACTTCAAGTAGCTAATGTGGCAAGTCAAGGTAACGCATACGAAAATGAGACATACTGGTCTGAACATAAAAAATAAACTTGCAAAAGGATGGCAAAAGACTCACGAGTTGTGTCGGGAAAAAATGCAAAGCCTTCGTGCAGCACGTGGCGGCAGTCGGCACCCATGTACCTGCCATCAATGTCGTACACAGGTTAGTCCATAAAAAAGAGAAGTTGCAGACGATGAATTAACAGAAGGAGCATAGTTGACAACTGCAGTTGCCATCCCATAACAACTGCAGTTGCCGTCCCATAACAACTGCAGTTGTCGTCCCATAACAACTGCAGTTGCCATCCATGGACAACTTGCAATTGACATCCATGGACAACTTGCAGTTGGCACCATGGACAACTGCATTTGCCATCCTGGACAACTTGAGTTTGCCATCCATTGATAACTTGCAGTTGCCATGCATTACCCATCTAAATACCATGCTTACAGGTTATTACGATGCTTCTACCCCGACAAACGTCTCATGGCAAGCTTCACACAATGCAGATACAACACGTCAATTTGGTGTTATGGACCACACAAGATGGGCACATACAGCACAGCAAGGTAAAATGAAAAAATTGCATAGTGAGCTCGAGACTAGAATATAAAAAAATTAATGCTAGAACACACTAGTTTGCCATGCGTTGGCGGCAGTATTTGCCATGTATGCAGGACTACAACTGCCATGCACATAAAATCCAAGTTTTCATACTGAAAAAATGAGCTGGTTGCCATGCATGACTGATGCAACTACTGAAAAACCAGTAGTTGCCATGTTTGTTGGACAGTAGTTGCCATGACTAGACAACTACAGTTGCCATGCATGTCGACATGCAGACTAACATCTTGCTTGTTTGAATGATGTCATGCGAAATCACTTGAAGTTGATGTACTCCATTACGATAAACATGTCATTCAAGCAAAAGATTTTACGCTTGCACCTGTTTTTTCTATTACAGGGCCTACGACTAAAGTGAACAGTGGCGCAGGGGCATCTACTATGGGAAGCTCTGAGCGCACGGAAGATGCAGTCCTTCAGCCAGCCACAAGTCATGCCGCGGACAATACGGAGTCAGAGTCAGAAATGGCAATCATTCCTGCAATGCCGACAAGCACCCCTTTGAACACAAGCACTGGCAACACTCAAGCAGATCAAACTGCTGCCGATACTGAAGTGAATGACGAAACTGACAATGAGGCACAAGGGGATGAAGATGATGGGCAATCAGCGATCATGGTACCTCAGCCACCGTACGTTGGGCAGAGATTTGAATCGTTCGAAGAAGCAAAGGAATTCTACCAGACATATGCAAAGTTCCATGGGTTTGCGGTCAACACCGAATACCATAGGAAGATTAAGAAAACAAACGAGTACAGCAGAGCTGAGATGAGGTGCCACAAGGCACGGAGGAACAAGAAGGGGAAAGGTGTTGCGCCTGTCGTTCTGGAACGAAAGAGAAGGGTCATTCTCAAGACGGGATGCCATGTCCGGTGTAAGCTAAACGTAGATGGAACACAGTATGTGGTCACTGACTATTTTGACGAGCACAACCACAAACTCATAAAGAAGTTCGACCTGGTAAAATTTCTGACCGCACACAGAGGATTCACCCCCGTCGAAAGGCAATTCGTAAAGCTGCTACATGATTGTAACGTCGGTCCATCAAGAATGGTCCAGATACTATCACTCATCCACAGCAAAAAGGGGACTCTGAGTAGCATGCCCTACATACCAGCTGATGTCACAAACCTACAGGCAAAGTACCATAGAGAGAGCAAGTTGGCTGACATAGAGGCCACAATGGCCTACTTTGATGAGAAAGCGAAGGAAGATCCAGATTTCTTCTACAGGATAAGGTTGGACGATGAGGACCGTGTCAGGAACATGTATTGGGTGGATGGTGCTGCAAGGAGAGCCTACAAACATTTCCGAGATTGCATTTCATTTGATGCGATGTATCTCACTAATATGTACAAGATGCCATGCGCTCCGTTCATAGGAATAAATAACCACAATCAGTCGTTGCAGTTCGGCTGCGGGCTCGTTCGGAACGAAGACACAGATGGGTATGTTTGGCTGTTCAAGACCTTCTTGGAATGCATGGATGGACTTGCTCCGATGAACATAATAACAGACCAGGATTTCAGCATGTGTGCAGGCATAGAGGGGGTCTTTCCGTTGGAAGTGCACAGGCACTGCAGGTGGCACATTATAAAGAAGGCTAAGGAGATGCTAGGACCGTTCTTTGCTGACCGTCCAAAGCTCCACAAGGCATTCGAGCTGTGCGTGGACCACAGCTTGACGATAGAGGAGTTTGAAAGGGGCTGGATGGCCATGATTGAAACATATCAAGTCCAAGACAATGAGACGCTTGCTAGCCTGTGGGAGAAGTGAATGTACTGGATGCCGGTCTACTTCATGCAGTTTGCCAACTCATTGCTACAGTTTGCCAAGCAATACACAGCTTTGCAACAAAAAATTCTAGGATCTGAGCTACAGCAAGAAGCGACCACCGCGCTAAAGCAGCCAAAATTGCTAACGTATTTGCCGATGGAGAGGCAAATGAGCAAGATATACACCAACAAGATCTTTAACAAGTAAGTCAGTTGCGTTACAGTCTTAGTTGCACAAGTATGAAGGCAGTAGGGGCCATGTAGAATGCAATGCAGTTGCCATGATCTGAGGAT